CAGCCTCAACATATCCACCTGCTCGGTTCTCCATGGCCCTCAAACTTCTGCTATTGATAGGCTTTATGTTGAGGGTGGAAAGAAAATTATTGTCACGACCTCCAACACAGTCAATCATTGCTGTAAAGAATTTGTATGTGTCAAAAATCAAATATCTGTACCCAAATATTTTTACCATCATATGGCATTGCCACTATATAACACTACCAAATTCAGTAGGCATTCATATCGGCTATGAATGCCATGGACAGATTGTCGACGTCATCATTAGTGTGACGTCATAATTGTTTCGTTGGATACCACTGACCCTCCCTAGGCGATGACCGATTGTTCTATTCATTGAGCAAGCATACACGATACATTCATTATTTAAACTAAATGCTGAATTCAATTTTCTAGCGTGCTTCATTGAATTTGCCTTTGTCTAGTTGGCATTCATATTGCCTATGAATGCCAACTGAAAGCAGTTCAATGCTTCAATATAGTTTCCAAATACTTATAGACTGTCAAACTTATTTTTTCACAAGTATATAATCAATTAAATGTTACATTAGTATATATGTTCAATCAAATTGTCTGACACAACAGCTGTACATTCTGTATATTTTGATTGACAGCCGGTGGTGTTCCTGGTGTATAACATGGAGCCTATGTAAATTTTATTTAATGTCAGTATCAAATAAAAACGGATATTCAAAAACAAAGTCTAAGAATTTTACAACCAAAATAAACAAAAAAATGACAGCTAACATGCATACAAATGTAACTATATGGAGTCTGATTCTTCAGATTTATTAATTAGTTTTATCTGACATTTTTGCTGGATATCTGTGATATGAAACTAATAAATCAATAATCATTGCAAACAGTGTAAAATATACTTACATGTCCCAAGCTTTGTGTTGACAACAAAGCAAGGCATCCCATTTAACTTGATGTGGTGCGTTTTACCGTAAGTGGCTTTGTTTACCGCACCGCAATCCGGATTTTGGCACTTAACATACAATGATCCACTCAATCCTTTCCTAAATTCTCCAACAATATTTAGAGATGTTAAAGGAATTGGCTCTAATTTGCACGATTGACATGAACTTAAATTGGACAGTAAAACGTCAAATTCAACAATCCTCCGGCCATCCTTCCACACAGAACGTTCTGCATGCTTACCTAGCTTTATATTGTTAAACAAATGCCAGTCGTCATTTTCACAACTTCCTTCTCCTTTGCAGAAATGTCCACCGCTATAATTATGATCTATAAGTACTTGCAATTTCTTGACAGGGCGTATTTTTGACGCGAGCCTCTTGAAGCGGCCGCTCAAATCACGAACAGCCACCATTTGTTTACATTCGTTTCCTCAACGGGCGGTAACTCATGTCGAAAATTACGTCACGATTAGGGGAATTCCCAGATTACGAATTTTCCAGATGTTGGCCGATGTTTGCCTATATCATTATACATGGAATATTTCTGTTAAAAAGTATGCTAAAAAAGACAGAAATTTACGAGAAAGTTAGACTTTTTTCGTCATTTTTCAAACGACTTCGATTCATTCCGGCCACCAATTTTGCGATTTATATGATTGATGTGTTTAAACAGTTGGTATCATATTAACAAGTGCAATATTCCCTTGACCAGAGTGGTCTCTGAACAAAAATCAGTTCAGTATCTTTTGAGATATGAATATTTATTAACGGAAACAGTTGGAAATATTGCCATTTTTATTTCATAGTGGTTCATTCCGGCCACCACTTCAACTTAAATCATTGTAGCGGGTTTAAAATTATCTTTCCTAAACTGGTCTCCGAATAAAAATCACTGATATATTATAGGAGATACGGCCTAATATATACAAAAATTCAACCAAAAACTCTTCACGCCTGAGTGCATCCCGGGTTTTGTCCTCACCCTGTCGTAATAACGTCACGATTAGGGGAATTCCCAGATTACGAATTTTCCCGATGTTGGCCGATGTTTGGCGATTTCATTATACATGGAATACCTCAATAGTCATTTCTGTTGTGGTGGCGGGAGTTTTCGACTCCTGAACCACTCTCTCCAACTCCGGATTTGTGTTTGAGGAACAACACTTCAATTTAGACGAGTTGGTAGGTTTTGATTTAGTTTACGCTTTAAGTTAAACTACAGAACTTGCTGAAGACTTTTTCCAGATGTCCCATGTGGTCATCAAATCCTTTAGTTGCCAATAGTAGATTTGTGTTTTGCTGTCGGAGAACTAAGTAAATCTGCTAGGAGAAACACTTACAACGTTATTTGTAAAATATTCACATGCCGGTGAACTGTCCTATGATGTATTTAACAAGTAATGTAAAATATGTATATTTATATATATGTAAATAATACCGAGATGTTTCTTTCCTGCTACACGAGACTGGTAGATATTTGCTTGTTGTCTCCAATCAAGCAGGTAACTTATCTCTTATAGGGGTGATATGGGATGGTACGGTTGTAATATAAATCGTTTGTAGAAACATACGTTTATTTCATGGATTATATCTTGTAACGATAACAAAATCGTTATGTGCTTAAGCCAAATTTCTTATCCCGTTGATAACTTAATTAAAATAACATTTTGTCAATGTGAAATAATTTGGAGAGACTTTGGGCCGAATACCATATACGTTGTTTAAACTTGGCCTTTTAACCATGTGACATGCTTTTAAGCCAGTTACAAAAAAGTAGGTTTTTATCACAGATTCCATGCTTGAGCACGAGAACGGTTTCATGAATACGGGCCCTGACGAGTGAAAACTGAACGTAAAACCACCACGGTGATTGTACGTTTAGAATTTGGTATTAGAAAGCCCCCCGTATTAGATAGAGTATGGTATTAGATAGAGTGCGGTATTAGATAGAGGGGGGTAATAGAGTTTGGTATTGGATAGAGTTTGGTATTAGAAAGAGTTTAGTATTAGATAGAGTTCGATATTAGATAGAGTTTAGTATTAGTTAGAGTTTGGTAATAGGTAGAGTTTGGTATTAGATAGAGTTTGGTATTAGATAGAGTTCGGTATTAGATAGAGTTCGGTATTAGATAGAGTTTGGTAATAGAGTTTGGTATTAGATAGAGTTTGGTATTAGATAGAGTTTGGTATTAGATAGAGTTTGCCAACAATGAATTACCCTGAATCCTACAGCTGTTTCCTCCTTCTAGGACTCATCAGTGATGCTAGGCGTCAAAACGTTGGAAATCAAAATTGTCTAATTGCCTACTGTTGAAACAGAGGGACAGACGCGTAAAACCCCTTGATGACGAATTCAAAACTTTGGAGGGGAACATGTAAATTTCAAAGTAAACAGTACATGTACGTTAAGTCTGTATACTATGAACCATGCCACTGCGCAAGGGAGATAACTGTGGCCATCAAGGTTAAAGTAATCCTCGGGGACTAATAGAATCTTGCCCTACCTTGAGGGTGTGATAGAGAAATCTCCAACCCGAGGGGTCACAACAAAAAACACATGTTGGGTATGAATATCGGGGGTGACAAGCTGATATTTCCCGGCTAAAACAGGAGACACACCGGTGAAGGGTGGGGGAATAAAGAATCCACTAGCAGAGTGTACCACTGTATACTATGAACCATGCCACTGCGCAAAGGAGATAACTGTGGCCATCAAGGTTAAAGTAATCCTCGGGGAATAACGAATCCACCAGCAGAGTCCACCACCTTGTAAAGAATGACAGATTATTTCGAACGCTGATGACACCATTCATCTAGCTACAACACAACAAGAAGAAAGACATCGCCAGAGCCGCCAGAGAGGAGGGGGACAAGAAAGGCGCACACGGAAAGATTAAACAGAAACCACGTGGACACGCAATCAAACACGTTTGGTAACAGGAGCAACGATGACAGGAGCATCAGAGAAGTAACGTTTCAGTGTGGAAAGGTGAGTAAAATCACCCGTGGCCTGAGGATCCATCAAGCAAGGACGATGTGCAGATTTGTGGAACTACAGACGCAGCCTGCGTCCAGAAGTAATTTCTGGTGAGATGAAGGAGGGCCCCAGCCAAGAGGCACCCGATATGGGCTGCTGCCGAGACTCGTGTGGCCCCTGGTGATATGTGAGGTTCCTTTGACAACAGTGGAAGGACTTGAGAGATCCAACAGTAGCTACCTGTGGTAGCGGTTAGGAGTCATGTCCAGTTCCTAAAGCATCGGACGTCACTATAGCCGGACATCATCACTGTAACTCCCGCTGTCATCAGTAGTGGAGGAGTTCAAGGTCACAAAGGCCACGCTGATGATGACGAGAATTACAGGACGAGAAAATAAGACAGGCGGGTATCTTACCCTGACCATGACTATATAAACTCGGTGTCTCATAGGATACCTAATGAATAGATCTACAAGCTCCAGAGCTCCACGGCGGTAAAGGACATGTATCCAGGTCCGTATTCATGAAACCGTTCTCGTGATCAATCATGGGTTCTGTGCTCAGCCTAATTTCTTGTTCCGTTTATAGATTAATAATGAAATCTTATTTTGTCAATGATTTTGAAAAATAAAATCAAAGAGACTTAAAGCCAAATACTGTTTCCAATGTAATTTTTTTACTTTTGATTGTTTGACATGCTTTACATGTAAGTGAGTTACATTAGAGTTGGTTTGAGCACAAAATGCATGCCTGAGCACGAGAGCGGATTCATGAATACGGGCATGTGTATTATAACAGTCCGAATCGAGTGATAAACATGTTCTTCTTGCAGTTTGTTGGTGCCACTTCGACCTCATGTCTTTGGAGATGTAGCGTTGAGTACAGAGGTGCTCCTGCCGGGATGTCTAAACCAAACTCAACATTAACTCATTCAACCCTGAAGACACATTTGAACTCTTCCAACTTAAAGGATGGAATAGTTCATTATGTAATTTCATGGGTGGCTGAGTTAAGGGATAGGAATAATCCTTTTCTGTGATCTTGTTGATTTTCTGGCGGTATTATGCATCATCTTACTCCTACGTCTTTCTTCCTAGCTAGACACCTATGTGAGCGGCACAGGCCGATGTTGTCTCTACCACTGTTCCATCGCTCAGCAGACCTAGAGGTGTGGACATCACAGGTTGGTGGGTTGTGAATTGGTTTGTCGTCTTCAGTTGGGATATGATTATATAGGGCCTACAGTCCAAGTCATTATCGCTCCAGGCTAACGTGTCTTGTTAGCCGACGGGGAGATTTATCTGTGTGGCGGATTGCCCAGTACTCAAATATTCCTTTGGCTAGAATACATAGACTGGCCTCCGTCTCTAGAATATTGAATTATTAAGAAAAAAGTTTAACTCAAAAAATGTTGATGTCTGATTCTAGATGCTATATGGGCTTGACCTTTCTGCACTCACCACTGTTCCGGGGAGTGCTTTTCCCAGATTTGACCAGACCCTAAGTTCTAAACTAGGGGGAGATAAGCTAGTAGTATAGTAGTAAAATGCAGATGAGAAATTCTTCATAAAAACTATGTGGCTGGTATAGCTATAGCCAGTCTATAGAATACACTGTGGTCGAACGGCACTGTATACGTTCCGGAAATAGCGATCACCGAAGCGAGAGCTAAATAATCACGTTGCTGGACACCTCCAGTCGAGGTAAATTTGGACTATTCTAATCACCACCCATGTGGTATAAGTAGTCAAAACGGATACAGCAGTTATTTTTGCAACTTTTGAACCCAATAAAATGTCATATATATTGATAATCACTTCTTAATCTTATATAATCGATCATTAATCAAAAGCGCCGGTATCCGAGTCAATCTAATTTCTACAATTCTAATAATAAATCTGATAAATTTTGATTGAATTTAGAGACGATGATGAATAAATAGTGTATGAGGAGACAATCAAAGTAAATTCCTGTTAAGTTAATGTCTATAGTTTGAACAACCGTGGTTCTTAATCGACGACTACTGACATTTATGGTTACTTGCTTGTTATGATAAAATTGACTATGATTACTAGTGTTTATACTGTCGATTACTTGCGATTACGTTGTATGATTAATTATTACATGACAATAAGTCTCTATCGATTGTTATTACAGAGGTTTAGCAGCGTTAAGGGTACGTGTGAGCAGGAATGTGTAGTGGTGTGAGCTACGTACAACTATATTCTATGATTACATAAATGACCGTCCACGTGTACGTGTATCATGTATAGCTGTGACTTATCAAACTTTCTATCGTAATTTTGTTGATCTCTAATATTTACTGATTCAGAATGAGATAAGAACACTAGCTCAATGAGATTATAAGACCGACATAACAATTAGAGGAGACCGGGGTAACTTCTGTCCATTTTTAATCAAGTCCGTTCTGGGAAATATGGCAGCACGTCCGTTTTTTGAAGAATTATTGAACTTTTTCTATCGGAAGATCGGATGGCCGAACGAGCCCCGCCATGGTGTAAGTTCGGACAGGCATTCGAGTAAGCAAGGCCTCCATTGGAATCAGCTTCATTATGTCGACCTAAAGCATACAACGTCAGATTTTCCCGCCAATTTTACAACTGTTTATGTGTTGCATGGGCCGAACTTGCCCCGTGGTATCATGGGCCGAACCTGTCCTGGCTCAAATTGATATTTCGATAAATTTTTATAGTACAGTTAACACTATGATAGTAAATGCTTGGCTTGGCTTTAATGTATATCATTTGAAGCTGTCATTGTGTTACACGTTTGACCGTCAAAAACGTAGCAATTCCGTTTACAGAAAGTTCACATATTTAGAGACATGATGATTTTCTTTCTGACCTCTCAAAAGTAACTTTCTCCTGTTTTGTAATTTTACATTTGTGTTTCTCGCCATTTTTAAGTGATAGACTTTTTTCACTCGTGTATATAAGATTTGTAACAAGAGAAAGAGAAATGCAACGGCCAGACCGAGTTCGAACCCAGAACCCTCCGATCTCTAGACGGACGCTCTACCCAATTGATCTACCTGGTCGCCAACGATCGACCCAGTCCAGTTCCGCTACATTCCTCCCTCCTTCAACAAAGTCTGCGACCCCGAAGCTAGGAGTTGGCAAGCTCGCCAATTTTGCCACAGAAGCACAAGAAAATGTTACGGCCAGACTGGGCTCGAACGGCATATTTACCGAAAGTTGATCTAAACCCCTTAAACATATAAAATTACTATGAACACCTTATAATTAGTTTAGGTCCAAATATATCTGCAAAAATTTCTCAGGTCACTGTTGGGTTGATAACTAATATCCATACAGTCTGGTCGCTATTATCCATACAGTCTGGTCGCTATTATCCATACAATCTGGTCTCTAGTATCCATACAGTCTGGTCGCTATTATCCATACAGTCTGGTCGCTATTATCCATACAATCGGTCGCTATTATCCATACAATCTGGTCGCTAGTATCCATACAGTCTGGTCGCTAGTATCCATACAATCTGGTCGCTAGTATCCATACAGTCTGGCCGCTATTAACATACAGTCTGGTCGCTATTATCCATACAGTCTGGTCGCTATTATCCATACAATCTGGTCTCTAGTATCCATACAGTCTGGTCGCTATTATCCATACAGTCTGGTCGCTATTATCCATACAATCGGTCGCTATTATCCATACAATCTGGTCGCTAGTATCCATACAGTCTGGTCGCTAGTATCCATACAATCTGGTCGCTAGTATCCATACAGTCTGGCCGCTATTAACATACAGTCTGGTCGCTATTATCCATACAGTCTGGTCGCTAGTATCCATACAGTCTGGTCCCTAGTATCCATACAGTCTGGTCGCTAATATCCATACAGTCTGGTCGCTAGTATCCATACAGTCTGGTCGCTAGTATCCATACAATCTGGTCGCTAGTATCCATACAGTCTGGTCGCTAATATCCATACAGTCTGGTCGCTATTATCCATACAGTCTGGTCGCTATTATCCATACAGTCTGGTCGCTAATATCCATACAGTCTGGTCGCTATTATCCATATAGTCTGGTTGCTATTAACGTACAGTCTGGTCGCTATTATCCATACAGTCTGGCCGCTATTAACATACAGTAGCATGTCCAAAGGTGCTATTTACAATCATTGTTTATATTATGTTTAACAACACAAATGTTTTCGTTAATGTGTGTTTTGTATTTAAAATTCATTGAATTATGAAAAAATATATAAACCATGTGTCAAAGGAGATCCGTGAGTTAATTATTGACATAATCTGTGACATTGTCGACCTCGGGCCGTGATAACCGCACTGATTCGCTATATTTTAATGTGCTTTGAAGTTTCATTTCTGGAATATTTCAAGTTCGTAACGAAGGTTGATTTACTAATATACTAATTGTTTTGTACCCACCTTCGTAATGATGATAGTATACCGAAAACATGTCTATGCTGTGATCTTTAGTAATCTTCGCTTCGGCGATCGCTATTTCCGGAACCTATACAGTGCCGTTTGACCACAGTGGAATAGGTATAAATGTGGTATGAAGGACGAATGGAAGACTTCTTTTATTAATTTAACAATGATAGAAACACAAAAGATGACTCCGATAAAAACTGTTTAACAGGCAGCTGGTAACTTGAGGAGCCAAGTATGAATTGTAGGACAAGATCTTGAGCAAAGATATGTCACAGAAAATGTTCCTTTGTCATGAGGGTTTCCTAAACAGACTATAGACTGTATTGAATCTGCAACAAAGACATGTTAAAATTAGATTACGTAAGGGTCGAATGTATCTAATGAATATTCATGATTTAGGGACGTCATATCCGACTTAGCCACTAATATACTTCCTTTTTCTGGTCGAATTCAGTGTGGTGAAGACGTGATGAGCGGACGAGTGCAGATAAACCTGAAGATTTTCAAAACAATGGTGTGAAATCATCAACAAGTAAGTAGATATGATATAATATGTAAACTGATTCGTAGTTTGTATACATTTAATCAAGACAAACGACATCTTATTATCAAAACCACTATAAATGCTATCTGTGTTGTCTGTTGGCAGGGACGCCATGATCGTGACTAATCATGTATGTTTAATCATGACGTCATTGGTTGGTATTACCCTTCCCTGATCACCGCTAACAATGGTGTCGTGATGTTTTGTCCGGGTATCGCGTTCTACCAGAGACGTATAATACGTATTATACGTCTCTGGTTCTGCCGTCTAAAACCGTAATTACACGATATACACAACATCATGCGTAGGATGGCGGCCATTTTAAATAGTTTCACTTATAACTTTTTAAAAATGAAAGCGAAAGTTAAGTCTGGGATTACCAATGGCAAGTCACAGTGAGATAAGGTCCTGATTAATATTAGAAATATGTTTAAAATTCTAAATTAATGTTCTAATATTCATATAGATCTATTAAACATATTTTTCTAGTAAAAAAGATTCATTTTTGATATATTATAAACTCATTTTCTAACACTAATAAAGGGCTGCATGTTATGGCCTACATGTCAAAACTTTCCGGTGCACAATATTGAGATCAGTTGAAATAAGTCTGTGGTTTTGGTAAAAACTAGTGAGATTTTTTTCTCTGAATAAGGATCGAAGTGCTAGATAAGTGAGACATTTAAAACAATTATAATACTGCATTTAGCATAGTATTATCTCATTTATATTTTTCTGTAGCCTATACTTACTTTGTTAAAAGCCAACGGGGAGATTTATTGTTATTTTCGGGAATTTTAGGGAGGTTTGTATATGACATGATACATTTATCGACTTTAAAAATAAAATAAAAACACAACATTTCCATTATGATTCTTATCAGTATGATATTTAATTTTATTAACATTAATGGACAAAACAAATATTAAAAATTTCTTTTTTTCAATGAAGTTATAAGTCCACAGGGATGTCTGTCTTAATCCAGTTGAAAAAAATATGGGTTGAAAAAAAATAGTTCAATATTTATCTTTGGTAGTCAACTACCCTTCCTGACCGCTATAACAATGGTGTCGTGATGTTTTGTCCGGGTATCACGTTCTACCGTATAACTCGCATGCGCAAGATGGTGGAATGAAAATATTCAAGCGGTGAAAGATGAGAGTTTTTTTTCTAAACAAAGTGACTTTATTCAACTTAGTTTTACCCACAAGTTTGAAAGGACGAATTAGACGAAGTCTACAATTGATTTTAAAAGCGTAAACCTGGAAAACATCGCTATGGAAAAAACGTTTGGTAAGTGACCGACCTGTGGAAGGTTCGCCCAAGATGGCGGGAAATTTGAAATGACTTCACCACAGAGTGCGGATCGTAAATTCACACAGTAGGGGTGCTATATGCTTAGCTTCTCATCAAAACCCAAACCAGAGACAATCCAGGAGCCGTACTGAGAAGGACATTGGCGTACTGTTTGATCACAAGTTAAAATTCAACGATCACATAACAATGAAAGTGAAAAAAGCTTATCGAGCATTAGGCATGGTTAGAAATACCTTTACTTGTTTGGACAAAGACATATTACTTCCTCTGTATAAGAGTTTTGTCAGACCCCATTTAGAGTATGTGAGTGTTATATGGTCGCCCTTATACAAAAAGGACATTTTAGCTATAGATCAAGTACAATGTCACGCTTTGAAAATGGTAACTGGACTTCGAGATCTATACACCATACCAGAGATGTATTATCTTTCGCTGTTTCTTTCGCTGTAAAATACATCGTTGTAAGCTTTTTAGCTTTTGGAGATGTCTTGGTTGTATTTCCTTTACTTATATATAGTGTCCAACCGGTTGCGCATAAAATGATAAAAGTCCGTTATTTACACATTGATGTTTTGTGGCAGTATATCGGTCTTGTTGCTCACACATTATACTTTACAAAAACAGTTCTCTCTCTATAATGAAACCCACGTATATTTACACACTTACCGTTAAAAATTTGCAATTGTTGATTTGGTCTCGAATGACCTGTAAAAGTTGAACTAATTTAAAACACATGTGACGTACATGGTACTAATTGTAAAAAGAGGCCCGGAATTTGGACCTGTTGGTAATGTTATGGTTGTTCAGTAATGTTTTAAAGCTGTTTAGGTTCATTGCTGTAGCAATTACTTCCGGTAGACACTGTTCCATATTGTTATTGTTCTATTGCTGAAGACTTTTTTGTTTACTTCAAGGCGAAACGGTTTCTTGAACAGCTTTTTTGGATGCCCCCTGGTCCCCATATTTGATGGTCTACAAGGTCGATGTTATTAAAGATCTTATAGATTTCGACTAGGTCGGCTCTTTCCCTTCTATACTCGAGTGTAGGCAGTCCCAGTTTTCGCAGCCTTTCATCATACGGTAGATTTGATAGATTTTTTATCCGTTTTGTAGCCCTTTTTTGAACATTTTCTATGGAGATTAAAATTTGTCTTTGATAAAGATTGGGGACCATATAGGTGTTCCGTACTCTAAATGTGGTCTGACGAGTGATTTATACAATAGAGTAAACATAACTGCGTCCATGTATGTGAAAGTATGGAAGATTATACTTCTCTGACCATACGGATCCTGGGTCTACCAACACTACTTTACAGACGCGATCGAGCCGATGTGATCCGACTATTTAAGATAATGCACGGCTGTGAGGAGGTTATAGCTTGGACAATATAAAAATATCAGAGAATTCAACTACTCGTGGACATTCACTCAAACTTGGAAAAGTGTTCTCTGGATCAAACAGTAGCCAAAATTGCTTTTCAAATAGGGTAGTAAATAAGTGGAACTCCTTATCAGAGCCAGAGGCAACAGTTACAGCAGCTCTATGAACATATTTAATTTTAAGAGTAACCTGAACACTGACTGGAAAAATAGAGACAGATACAAGGACAACAAATTCAATGTGTGAATTAAGAGATGTGACTCTACAGTGAGACTTTTTTAAAACATAACCATCTACCGCTAGCGCAGCGAAAACATTAAAGAAACGATGTACAAGATTTCAATTGGGCCAATACAAGCTTTAAGCTCATTTTCCCGGCCATCTGGATCAAGGTAAATCAATATGGAATTAGCTAATTATTGACCCTTTTATTAATTAACTATGTACAGTAGATATAAAAACAATGAAGCAGGTAATTCTTACATGTTTAATCAGAAAATAACTTTTGTTTAATGTTTGTTAAACAATAACAAATTTAAATTGAACATTTGTCACATTTTCATCGTTGTTCTTATTGCGACGATTCAGATTGGAACTGCACCAGAAACATATCGGGTTTTGTCATAGAATAAGACGTTACCTTCCAGTGAGTTCCGAACGGTGTACCGGGCACGTTCAATTACGCGCATTTTCTCGTATTGGCCGAGTTTGTCAAAAGTCGGCCAATATTTTCCATAAAGGCCGACTTTTTTCAATATTGGCTGACTTTGTGTAACAATTCCGATATTGGCTGAGATTGTTGAGTATATTGCATGGGCCGTTTATTACATATTACAGCAATATCTACATAGTTAATTAATAAAACATCAGAATAATTCAGACTATACCCTACCCTAGGTAACTATAAATGCCCAACCATTTTTTTGGAAGGATGTGGATTGTTTTAATTAGTATTTGTGTATCCCCCGCTTTAACCGAAACGGGGGATTTTCTTCACACTTGGTCACAGCAGAGACATATAAAGCCATATAGAAGTATACGTCTCTGGAACAACTATCGATATTGATTTTGTCAGACTTTCAGCCGCTGGGTTGCTTTCAGTGTCCATGCCCTGACACCAGACTTAGGTACGTATGTTATATCCCAATACTGATATAATGTATTTGGAGATTATCATATGACCATTTTGATAGCACACCCCATATCAGCCCGAGAGTCCTGATTTCAGCCAGAGGGCCGAAGGCCCGAGGGCTGATATAAGGACTCGAGGACTGATTAGGGGTGTGCTATCAAAATGGTCATATCATAAACTTTTCATCATATGTTATTTTCCTTTAAAATCAACAAAACATACACAAAAAAAATAAATCTTTTTTTATTTATATTCATAAAAATGGTAACAAAAATAATGATGTATATAAACAAAACAGTAACAATTATACGTAAAAAGTCAACATTTAGAAATTCCCAAATTCCTACAAAATTATATATCTATGGTTGGCCCGAAGGGCCAAGTGAGCTTATGGCATGGTGCGGTGTCCATCCGGCGTCAACTTTTTACTTTAAACAACTTCTTCTCAGTAACCAAAAGGCCTAGGGTGATGATATTTGGCCAGAAGCATGCTTCGATGAAGGGCTACAAAGTTTGTTCAAATAAATGACCTTCATCAATTTTCAAGGTCACAGGGGTCAAATATTTTGAAATCTTTAATACATGCTGGGATGAAGGGCTGCCGGGATTTTTAGGTCACCTGAGACAAAGTCTCAAGTGACCTATTGTGATCGCCTTTTGTCCGTCGTCGTCCGTCGTCCGTTGTTCGTCGTCCGTCGTGCGTCCGTAAACAATTTACATTTTCGACTTCTTCTCCAAAACCCCTGAACCAATTTCAATGAAATTTTGCAGGGACCTTCCATGGACAAAGGTCAACAAAAAT